CACAACATTCAGAAAGTCTGAATGAACTTGTAATGAAGTAATGAAGGATGTGAACCCTTAGCTACCAACAACTAGGCTACTGGCTGACGTTACTTCAGCTTCTCATTTTGTGGCTGTTGTAAATAAGCCTAAAATAAACATGCACCACCACCAGCTCTAGTCACCTTCCTCATGTCATCCAAATCACAGAAAGCTACAGAATCCTATTTTTTTTAGAACACCTCTGAAACAGTTTGTGGACATCAACTCAAAAAAGGTACTTAGAAGTGTGAGATTCAGTACTCCTGCGTAACATGGAGAAACTGAGACAAAGGCAAAATTACTTTTTCAAGATTATACAGCAAGTCAATGGCAGAGTACAATTACAATTCAGAGCCTTCTAGTTTCTAATCCTATAATCCTCTTTCCAAAATCTATTAGCACAACCAAATATGCTGTTTCAGTGATGGCCATGAATGCTCCATTCTTTTGAACACTGCATCCCAGGTACCACAAACTGACTGTTCAGATGACGACACTTGAATAATTTACAGCCATATTAAACATCTGCATTCAAATAACTTCACAAGTTTCTGACTAGCAGCACTAAACGCAATGGCTTTAATTGTGAAACAATTTTCCCTAATTATAAGTTGTTGGAATAGGCTGCTGAGTCAGCATTGTATAAAAACTTAAGTCTTAGGCTAAAGGGGGAGATGAAAACATAGTAATTTGTGGCCCCCCCCCCGCTATACAGTAATCCTATCCCTAAATTTCACTCCCTGTTGCTGAGTGTAGACCGCATTTAACAGACACCAGCCTGGCATGAGTAAATCCGCCCCCGAGTCCCACACACTTCTGCATTCAAAAAGTCTGGCCAGAGATCGACTGCTGCTCCTAGCCCTGGCAACTCATGCTCGCAGGTCTCTCTCTTCACCATCTGACGTCGCTCTTGGCAAGCGAGCCCTTGTTTGAACACCTCCCCAGCAACACACCAGCACAATTTGTCTTGTAGCAGAGAGCTGCCCTTTTTTCTGACAGAACCAAGGGGCTGGATGAACTGTTTGGGGGGCAATAGGACCAGCTGCTGACTACCTTTCCTAAAAAAAACCCTGCAGACCCTCACTTCTTCTGATGGCCAACTCATTCAACCCACAGCTCAGTTCTTGAGCATTCCTCATGATCCTCCAGGAAAGTGGGGGCCTGGAAATCACTGGGTTTTCTGGACATACATACATTGTTTACCTTAAAGGTGTACTAATAGGTACACTCACAAGGTATCACAGGGGTTCACAGCATACAGGCCTTTTCTTCTGCTGGAACAAAATACACAGCACACACCCAGAAATGTGTACCATTAACTCTAATCTGAGAATTAGAGCTTTTAAAATCTCCAGTTGCTTAGACTACTTAACTAGCTAAGTGTGTTAAAGGTGTAAAACTTTTCCAAGAAATTTCTCTACTTACATTTTATTTACATGCACAAGCTACAGGTATTTAGAAAGTAGAAGTTCTTATTTGCGAGTGCCTACATTTCAACCAAACCTTTTGGAGTACAGCAAGTTTTCCACTACTTCAGGGTTCTTTGGTTTTGAGGCAGCTTTTACATTTTGAATCAGTCCGTCTCTCTTTAGTTAGATGAAGCTAGCCATTTCTCTCCCCCTTCATTGCCATGAACTTGTCTGATGCCCCTTAAGATGGATATGTATGTTAACTAACCTGCTCCTCTCCCTCCAAACCCACATTTCTGGTGATGAGATAGATGAGTGAAAAGACAAACTGCCCAACACATGGGAACCAGTCAATAACTATTGCCTCTGGGTTGCTTAGCCACAGCTTTCCAGGCTTAGCTTCTCATTGTCCACCAAGCACCCAGTAAAAAAAGATGCAATTATAAAAGTTACTGCTATTTTAAAGTTGTAGGCTTATAACTGGGCAGAAAAGTTCTTCAAGACATCATACTATCCAATGTTACAGCAACCTCAAACACAGTGCTCCACCAATTCCGCCTCTTCTAAACTGGGGACGCTCTCTCACAGTATTCTGGCAAACTTGCAGCAGTAACTTGATAGTTGTCCAAAAGTTTAGTTTGGTACCTTGTACTGAGAACTTGTGGTTCACAGGAAGATTGAACAGTCCTGCCTCAAGCATAGCTGTATTCAGAAGCATGAGGAACACCTTTGGGGACTGTAGCAATTTTGGCAAATTGTAATTCATGGGTACCAGTCCATTAGAGTTTGCATTCAACAGGATGCTTGACTATGTGACCTTTGAGGCATTACTGTTCCCAGTCATTCTCCCCACACCTCTATTAGGAGAAAATTGTTTCAAGGCATACAGGAAAAATTGTACAAAAAAAAAAGAAAAAAAAGTGTAATTCTAAAGCCTCATTGATTTATGTGAGTGAGCCTAAAGCTTTGCAGAAACTTAAGGCAAATTAGCTGGAATCTGAAATTACTATTTTTATCTTTGCTGCAGACACCTACACAAAATGGTTTACAAACTCCACCCAAAAGGCAATGATTCCCAGGCATTGCCTTTTTTTTGGGGTTAAGGTTTGGGAAACTGTAGAATAGCAGGCACACCAGAAACATCAGAGAGGACTTCTCTGAAGGAAGAGGAGGCTAAGAACACTTCTGAGTACACTGTGAATGGTCAATATATCATTAAATGACTTTAGACACTAAAACTTAACTGATTACTTTGTACTAATTAAAATACCACCATCTCTCCTCAAACCCCACAGTAAGCAGCAAGGGTTATTTATATTGGCATTACTGAAGCTACATGGAATTATGTCTGCTGCAACTCAGGTGAAATTTTTACCTCACCTATTGTGCTGATTTTGGCTGGGATAGAGTTAATTTTCTTCATAGAAGCCAGTATGGGGCTGTGTTTTGGGTTTGTGCTGAAAACAGTGTTGATTGATAACACAGGGATGTTTTCGTTACTGCTGAGCAGTGCTTGCACAGAGTCAAGGCCTTTTCTGCTTCTCACACCACCCCACCAGCAAGGAGGCTGGGGGGGCACAAGAAGCTGGGAGGGGACACAGCCGGGACAGCTGACCCAAACTGGCCAAAGGGATATTCCATACCGTGTGACGTCATGCTCAGCATATAAAAGCTGGGGGAAGAAGGAGGAAGGGGGGGGGACACGTTTGGAGTGATGGCATTTGTCTTCCCACGTAACCATTACGCGTGATGGAGCCCTGCTTTCCTGGAGATGTCTGAACACCTGCCTGCCCATGGGAAGGAGTGAATGAATTCCTTGGTTTGCTTTGCTTGCGTGCGCAGCTTTTGCTTTACCTTTTAAACTGCCTTTATCTCAACTGACGAGTTTTCTCACTTTTACACTTCAGATTCTCTCCCCCATCCCACCGGGGGGGAGTGAGCGAGCGGCTGTGTGGGGCTTAGTTGTGGGCTGGGGTTAAACCATGACACCTATGAACCAAGACAAAAGCTAGAACATCATCTTTCAACATAACATAATTAGTATTATTTGCCGCTTAAGAGCCCACCTGAGTTTGAAACTATTGGTTCTGTTATCACAGCTTTCAACATCTAGGGTTATTTTTTTATAAAAATTATATATTATTTTTATCATTGTATATTGTAATAATGCACAATCAGTGGCATTTATTTTCATTTTGCTTTAATTAAACACAAAAGCATCTCAGAGTCTGATGATTCAGCTTTGCCCTTACTCACTTAACAGTGAGGCGATTGTAAGTAAGGCTTCACAGCTAAGATGACAAGAGGTCCTGAAAGTTATGGCTTCCCATTTCAGTTCTCAGCATCCACGGTCTGAAGTTACAGCAAGGGCCGTCAAGAACTTAACTTGCTCTAAGTTAGCGTTAAGATGAAACACTGTCACCTACACCATTCTGAGATTTGTGTCCGCAGCAGTCAGCTCTCAGAAGTCACGGGGCAGCCAGGGAAGAGGGAGGGGTCCCAGTGGCAGGGACGTAGAAAGCAGGACTCGAGGCCCGACGGGCGAACACCACGTTAATTCTCTCCCCTCCGGGGCCCCGCAGCGGCGCTCCCAGCCGGGGGAGGCTCCCGGCCGCGGGGCTACAGCTTCCGCTGCTTGTGCCGGGGGTTCGTCTTGCAGACGACGTACAGCCGGCCCCGCCGCCGGGCGGCGC